CTCTAATCTAGTCCCCTGTACTTCCATTCCCCTCCCCTCCTCCGTCTCCATCCCCTTCTGAGCACTCTGCTGATCTTTCTGCTGTTGACTTACAACTTTTTAAACAGTTGCATTTTATCTCTTAAGTAGTTTCATTGTTCCTTGAATTACTGTGTCTCAAGAGTAACATGGTGGTCAGCCTGTGCCATGGCTCTGAGAATCTCTCCCACCGGCTGATTCCCATCCTTAGATGAGATATACCTTGCCTGGGATTGTGTGGCCAGTCCCCAGGCACAGGTGGGCCAGCTTGCAGGGGCTTTTACCCTTCCATGAACTCACAAAGAGGCCTGAGGATTTCCTCTGCACCCAGGGGCTACCCTTGTCCCTCCAGCCCTTGGAGCCCCCCCCCAAAGTGGCCACTATGTTGACCTTGTCTGCGGTAGTTGCCTGACTTTGTGAGGAAAGCCAGATGCACCTGCCCAGGTGGCTCCTCTGCCTCTGCTCCCTGCTTTCGGTCTTCCCTCCTGTTGGTCTTGGGAGCCAGACGTGGCCTGTGATCAGTGTGGGCTGATCAGGGCTGTGATTTCCTTGTGGCTCCATGGACATTGCTGTGGCCTCCTTGTAAGGAGCCCTTCAGAAGGGAAGGCCTGGTAACTAAGCTTCGAGGGTAGCGCAGAAAGGTCCTTATGGAAAAGAAACGTGCCCAGGGCCGGGAAGTGGGAACCAAAACTGGGTCCAGAGCTCAGCCTCCATGTCCAGATGAGGAAACTTGGAAGGACCCAGTTCTGCATCTCCACGTCCACCAGTCATGCTGCCGGATGCCAGCCCCAGCAGAACACCGGCAGGAGATACTGAGTTGCCCTTCGTCACAGGGGTGAGGAGGTGACCACAGCACCCTGCACATGCCTGCCAGAGGTGCACAAGCCTGCGATTCTGTCCCCGAGGACTGACGCATGGTGAGGAGGGGAAACAGACAATACTGTGTGGCCCATGCTGAGAGGAAGAGGAGCTTGCTTCCAGACTCGCAGAGGAGGAGAGGCCCGTGCAGGGTGGGGGATGCAGGTGTGCTCCGCAGGGTGCGGGTGGATGAGGTGAGGCCGACTCTGCAGACGGAGGCTCACAGAGACTTCCCAGTGCTTGGCACAGAGAAGGCTGCCAGCCGCCCTCCTCGGGAAGCAGGGGCTAAAGTGCGGATTCTGTTCCATGGCCTTCTGTCTGTTTGGGGGGCAGGAGCTAGATACGATCAATACATCCCGAGAACCTTTCGAATGCTGGTTCCTTCCAGTTATGCATAACACTGGGGTTCGTCTTTGCACAATTACAAAAGCGTGGACTGCTTTTGCTCTAATCCAGTCCCCAGCACTTCCCTTATACTAAACCAGGAGAGCCAGGTGCCCTGGAGAGTCTTACCCCTGCAATCCTGAGGACCTGGGTCGGCCGTGTCCTGGGGCGCCTGAGGACCCTTCAGTGCACATTGCCCAGGTCCCACCTCCTTTCTCTCTTTCCTTCCTCACTTCCCCTTCACACTGGTCAGATCACCTTTCAACCATGTTTTAATTTCACAAACTTTCATTCTAAATACCAAGAACAAGAAGATCATGTTTTTAAGCTGATTCTTAATTCCCCACATGAGAGTCCTGGTGGGACATGACTTGCTGGGACTGCAGCTCAGTGAGGCACATGCAGCCCCCAGGGGTGCGCGTGCTAGAGCGTGGTCCTCACTGGGAGGTGGAGGGACCTCTGTGAGCGGTGCCCAGTGGAGGTGACGAGGTCACTGGGGGCATGGCCCACGAGAGCAACCAAGAGTTCCCCCTGGACGCGGCTAGTTCCCACAAGAACAGCTGTGGTGAGAGGAGCAAGCCAGCCTGGATCTCCCTCGCTTCCCAGCCAGCCTCCATGCCGTCTTGCACACTGCAGCACAGCCAAGAGGCCTTGTCAGAGGTGGGGCCAATGTGCTGCCTGGTCCTCAGCCTCCAGAACTGGGCGCCATCTAAGGCCCTTTCCTTTATAAAGTACCCAGCCTTGTGTATTTTGTTGTAGTAACAGAACATGGGCTACCAAGACCTAGGTTCTCCCCGGAATCCCTCCCATATCCACCTGGCTTCCAGACACCCCCATGGTGACAAGAACTGCTGGGACAACTGCACCTGGAGGGAGCTGGTAGGAGGGTAGCATCACCAGTGATGGAGCTCTGGGACTCTCAGGGTGTCCTGCTGGGTGCCGTGGCAGGCGAGGGGAGGTGGCTCTGTCTGTGGTGCAGCTCTGCCACAGTCTGATCCGGGCTGTTCCTCATCCTCTTGATACTGCATGGGATGTCCTGGAGGGCCAAGGTTTGACCAAGAGGCCCCTGGAGTGTGAAAAGCTTTCCAAGGCTGGGTCAGGGCAACCTGGCCAGGGTTCCAAGCTGAGTCAGCCACTTGTTATCAGGACAGGCCTCTCCCCAGGTCCCCAGCTGCAGAGTGGATGTGGCACTTCCTGCCTTCCAGGGTGGCCACCCGTGGGGGTGGAGGAAAGGGAAGCTGCTCACTGCCGGAAGGCCCGTCCCTTCCACCCTCTCCAACTCAGTGGTGCTGAAGACCCAGCGTCACGGGGGACCTGCTGCTCACGCGCCTCTGCATCCAGGTTGAGGGGACAAGAGGTCCTGTCCATGGCAGCGTTGCAGATACCACATGACAGGCACAACTGGGGTGCTCCTTGGGGGCCCTTCCCCTCCTGAGGGAACTGAACTCTGACTAACACGTGGAGTCCCACGAGGAGGTGGACCCTCCAGGCCAGAGAGCTACCCGACTGGACCCGAGTCAGGCAATGCTCAGGAATGGGATCTGCATCACAAGAAGGTGCCAGGATTGGGCTGCCAGATGCTTCTTCTAGCTTCTCCTCATGAGGAGGGGTCAAGGCCTTGTGGGTGTGCTGGCGTCTCAGCACCCTGCCAGGCAGGGCTCTGCGGGGTGGCGTGTGCTGCTCACTGCTGTCCTCTGCAGCAGGGCGGCTGTGGAGGCAGGACGAGGACTCTGGACAGACAGCTCCAGTCAAGGGGCAGAGTGCAGCCGATGCCTGTGTAAGGCTGCCCTTGGTCCAGCCTGAGGAAGGAGAGCGCCCTGCGGTACCACCCAGGGCACAGATTCTTCCTCAGTAGCTGGGCGGGCTTATCAGAGTATCCTCCACAGCCTGCAGGGGGGCGGGCAACCAGGGCGCTCCACCCAGGGTCCTGCAGTCTGCTGTGTGGGTGCAGAGCCAGGGACGCTGGCTGGGTGTTCACACAGGTGTCGGTGTCTGGGCTCTCACACCTCCCTGGTGAACTGCTGCAACTTAAGGGCCAATCAGCCAAACTCACCACGGGGGCAGATTCACATCCTACTGTCTTAAGGGAAGTGACCCCTCCCTGCAAGCCCGACTTGATGGAATTCGTCAGTTTGATGGAGGTCGTCAACATATCAATGATAGAATTGTCCTGCACTGACTGTCCCCATGGACACACGAAATCTCTACAGCTCCCTGGAGCGCCCCTGCCAGCCAGGTAACCTGTATTGATGAACAGATGAAGCCACAGCCATAGGAACAAGAAAGACCCTCTTCTTCACTGTGAGGACCCTTGCAGCTCCATCAGGAGATCTGCAATAAGGGGGAAGCTCTGCCTGCTGGGTCCAGGGCCAAGGCCAGACAGACCCTGTCTTGACCTCTAGGACCCTGGGTTGCCACTTCACCAGCCATCCCTAGCCGTGGGTTGCTCCTCTCCCTCCCAGACAGGCATCCACATCAGCCAGGTCAGAATGCATAAGTTGTTATGTCCATAATGAAATGATAATTTAGTGATAAAGCAACCATTTTGAGTATATTTCAAAAATTTAAGATTTTTAACAAGATAAACAGTTTCCTTGCTATGATCATTGTAATATTCAGTTCCCAGATGTATGAACTCTAGATCCCAGGCTTTTCCAGCATGAATTCTTCTGTCCCATGATCGGGACCTCCCAGGCTCTACAACAAGCACTTACCAGGCCCTCAGACTCAGCAGCCTGGCTTGCAATCTGTAGTTGGGAAGAGAAGTTCATTGGAAATGAATCCTGGTCCTAAAATTCCTTCCGTGATATGCAGGAAAATCAACATAAAATTAACTATCATTAAACCATTCTATTGCTCTGTCAGAAAACAACTCCATCAACTGGCTCTTCAGTTAAAAAAAAATTGAAAAGCCCCTAATTTTCAGGATTATTGGTAACCAATAATCAATAATTAATATTTAAATTTCTCAACTTCCAGAAAGTGCTCCAAGATGTGTCAAGTGGCTTTTAATTTTACCCACGCCTCTTCTCCTTAGAGGTGTTCACCTAACACAACACACTCAGAAGTAAAATAAAACCATCATTGAGCACTATTTGCCAGAGCATGCTCTTTAAGTGCTGCCTTTCTGGTGGAGGAGAACCGCAGACACTCAGTGGCAGGGCTGGTGGTGGTACCAGATCTGCATGGTCCCTCAGGAAAGGCCTGTTTTCAGTTAAAGTGAAGGTGCTAACACATGTTCCCCGACAACCAGCTCACCTCTGAACTTGGACTATGATGCTAAGTTTCTACAGAAACTGTGCTTCTGACAAACTGAGACAGGAGAGGCCCCAAGGCCCTGGGAGGTGCATGGAGTGTGACCTTTCAAACCACCTGTGTGGAGCAGTTTAGGTGTCTACCCTCCAGGGAAGCACCGCGATGCCCTCTAAGGGTGAGAAGCCCACCTTTGAATAGGAAGAAGGTCCCTGCAAGCTGCAGTGGCAAGGCCCACAGGGAGGCTGGCTCAGGGGGGTTCTGGCTGAGGGGGAGCAGGTGTGGACCCAGGTGCTGGTCCCCGAGGCCCACAGACCAGGCCACACCACAGCCCCAGGAGCACCGGCCCTATGTGCCCTGCTTGGAGACTTCCCTGAGCCAGGGTCCAGGGAACGCCCCTGCTCACTGAGCACTGAATGTTGTATTGGGGACAATGCTTTTTTCTTTCTTCCCCCATCTCAAACACATCCTCACGCTCATTTCCACAGGGACCATCCCCGATGGGGGGCCGCCAACACAGCCCTGGCAAGATGGCTCCCTCCAGTCTATGAAGATGGCTTCAGTCAGCCCCGAGGCTGGAACCCCGGCTTCTTACACCATGGGTTTCCACTGCCCCCGGTTAGTACTTGAAGTGCTGCTTCATGGGTTGGGAGTTGGTTTCCCACAATGCTAACCCGCCCACTGGAACCCTGGGCCTGTGCGCAGCAGCCTGGTACCACACCAGTCCTTCTGGTCCTCCAAGCCCTGGGAGGTTGGGCCACGTCTCCAGGGAAAAGCTTAGGAGCACTGGTCAGCTAGCAAGTGGAACAAGGCAGATGTAGCTGAGCTTCATCCGACTGCAGCACTTCCCGTCTCAGCAGCACGGAGTGTTTTCAAGTGAAGTCCTCTGTCCCTCAGGTGGAAGACACCTGCTCACAAGCTAACCTACTCTTTAGGTGAGGAGGATGGCCTCCACCTCACTCCCAGAGGTATGTTTACCTGTGAAGCACACTCATACCCAATCTAAGATGCATTTGTCCAGATGCGGGTCGCTGTGCCCCGTTTGCTGCTCCAGCCGCTGGGCAACCCAGCCTGTCACTCTTGTGCACGCTCCACGCTGGTGCCCTTCAGGCTCCCGGCAGGGGTGCTGTGCTCAGCACAGAGAGCACTCTCCAGGAGCCAGGGCCCACCAGCTCGGCTGCCCACCATATGGAGCTCTCCCACGGAGACAGACTACTTGACCTGGATGTTTTCCAGCTGGCTGTTTAGTAAGAGGACAGAGTGTTCCCTAAAGCGGGGGAGGAAGTGGGAGATGCGCAGGGACTCACTGAGGAAGGGCCTTACTGGGCAGCAGGCCCAGGAATGGGCTCTGCTCCACCCTCAACTGCCTGCCAGGCACTTGCCCCTCAGCCTCATGCAGACTCTCCATGAAGTGGGGTAAGGCTTTACCTATCTGGGCACTGGACCAGTTCAAATCCTACGGTCCTGGAGCTGTAATGTACTATGATATTCTCATTCTACGAACCTATAGTTGCTCAGATACACAATCATCTAGAAGAATCAGAGCTCAAGAATGTTCAAATGTGCAACATGTTAGTTTACTACTCCTATTCTAACAGATTATTCTATCAAAAATGACTTAGAAAATACAAACTGATTATCCTCCAGTTCTGTAGGTCAAAGGTCTCTGGTGGGCCTCTGTGGGCTGAAGCCAAAGTCACTACAGGCCAGTGTCCTCTGAGAGACTCTCCTTTTTGCCCCAGCTTCCAAGGCCAGAGTCCTTCTAGATGCCTGGGGGAGCCCCAACTTCCAAGTCCACACAAAATCAGTGGCTCTCACCGCCCACCTCAAAGCCTGAACTGTGTGTCTCTCTGCATCCTCTGTTCAAAGCCACATCTCCGACCATTCGGAAAGGCACTTGGGGTTTAAGGACCCATGTTATCAGACTGCAATCACCTGGAAATCCAAAATAATGCCTTCATCTTAGGTCCTTGACGTGGTCACATCTGCAGGTTCTAGAATTCAGGAATAGACATCTTGGGGGGATGTTATTCTGCCCACCAGAGTCCACCCTCCCACTCTGAGTGTTCATATGCATTCCACATGCAAAACACATTTGCATCCCCACAGCATCAACTCAAGTGCAAACTCCAATCCAAGTCCCTCCATCTAAGTCCTCTAAATCAGGGACAGGGAGGCTCTGGGTGGGTTCCACCTGGGGACAAAATTCCTCTGCATCTGGATCTGTGAAAATCAATTGTCTGCCTCCAAAATACACTGGCTGGGCAGGTACAAGACAGCAGTTGCAGACATCACAGTTCAGAATGGAAGAAATGGGAAAAATCAGGAGTCACTGACCCCAAGCAAGGACAAAAACCACCTCGTGTGGCTGCACTGGGAATGAGACTCAGCCACTCAAGGACTGTGTCCTGCACTACATCATGCTAATAGCAGATGTCCTGAAAATGTCATTCACATGATTTCCACAGCATCCCCAAAGCTCCTCCTGTTAGGTCCACTTAGAGATGAGGAAACTAAACATGCAGGCATGTGCCTACAGTCACCACCAGGGGTGGCGGGTGCCAAAGTCCAGCTGTGCCTGTCTTCCAGCTCAGCTCTTCCCACCTGCCCACAGGGAGCAGGTTCCCACAGCACACACAGCCCATCATGGAATGTGGGTCCCAGACCTCATCTGTAGGCTGCTGCCTCACGACAAACCACTCTCATCTCACCCAGGTTCGGGAGGTGACAAGGCAAGTTATCCAAGTTTCAAATGAGGCAGTGACAGAAGATGACCAGTATTCTGATTTCCTGACTGTGTGGGGACAATACATCGATCACGACATTGCACTCACACCTCAGAGCACCAGCTCCACTGCCTCCTGGGGAGGAGCTAATTGCCAGCTGACCTGCGAGAGCCGAGGCCCCTGCTTCCCCATACAGGTAATTTCCCAAAGTTTTAATTTCCATTATGAAACTAACATGTGCATTCAAAACTTAAACAGAAAAGTATGCGGTGGAATGCAGTTGTGTGGTGTGTGTGGGGTGGGGGGCAGCTGCTGTGAATTTCCTGCATCCTCAGGCATTGCTGGTGCCCGTGGGCCGCACCCCCTGCTTGTGTGTGCGGGCTTCCACTTGCACTGTGCCTTCGGGGTGTGTACCTGGGAGTCCCTCAGCAGTGATTCCCACTCATCGCTCCACAACTGATTAGACAAAAAGCTTCCATGGTGAGCCGTACCACAGCGCACCTGAACACTGAGCATCCTAAGGGGAGGAGAAGTTGCAACTCCAAGACAGACAATAAACCAGCGGCCAGGACAGGTGTGAGCGTGAGGGCTGGGTCCAAGCAAAGGGTCTGAGGGACCAGGACACGCTTGCCTGGGGTGGGTTCCACATCGGACAGGCTCTGCCTCTCCCTGCTAAGAGGGTAAACGCCCAGGCCACAGCAGGAAGAGGTTTGGTTGAGTACCAAGATGACCGGCCCGGTGGGCTTGCCTTGCTTGAGCCTACAAATGCCCTCAAAAGGGGTCCAGGGCCCGAGGTGACCCGCGTCTCCCCTCTGGCACAGCTTTCTTTTAATACTTCGCTGGCCGCTGGCACCGCATGCTTACCCTTCTACCGCTCGTCCGCTGCCTGTGGCACCGGGGAACAGGGTGCTCTCTTCGGCAACCTGTCCATGGCCAACCCGCGGCAGCAGATGAACGCCTTGACGTCCTTCCTTGATGCGTCTACCGTGTATGGCAGCTCCCCAAGCGCAGAGAAGCAGCTGCGCAATTGGACCAGCGCCATGGGGCTTCTCCGGGTCAACACGCGCCACCAGGACGCAGGCCGCGCCTACCTGCCCTTCGTGCCGCAGCGTACACCCGCCGCCTGCGCGCCCGCACCTGGCGCCTCCCGAGCTGCCCGCGCCCCCTGCTTCCTGGCAGGCGATGGCCGTGCCAGCGAGGTCCCTGCCCTGGCGGCCCTGCACACGCTGTGGCTGCGGGAGCACAACCGCCTGGCCGTGGAGCTCAAGGCCCTGAACGCGCACTGGAGCGCAGATACTGTCTACCAGGAGGCGCGCAAGGTGGTGGGCGCTCTACACCAGGTGCGAACATTGTCAGCATGGGCTTCCGAACCCGGGTGGGCGATCTGAGCGTCCCAAATATAAGTCGCAAGGTCTCGGGGGGGGCCCCAATCGGGGGGAGCGGGAATGTGGGGGGGGGGTCAGGGGAGGGCTTCACAAGATGTGTCCACAAAGTTATCGTGGACGCCCAGAACAGGTGCAGGTGAGGGCCCTGTGAGCACCCTTATGGGCAAGGTCACAGTGGGCATCTCCAGTAGGTACCCCAGTGGGCTCAGGCAAGGTCACTGTGGGTACCCTTATTCCTGTGCCCCACGCATCTGGGCGGGGTTCACTCAGGATATGGAGGACCCCTCTGGGCTCCTCTGTCCCAGCTGTGCGCACACACCCACCCCACCCCACCCCTCGGAGGTGGCTGTCCTGGTGCCTGCAGCCCGAGGATGCATGCTGGTCTTCCTCCCCCAAAATCTTCTCAACCACCTGGGGGCCCTAAGTCTGATTTTTTTTTTTGTATTTTGAAAACAACAGAGACCTTAGTCATTTTTGTGTGTGAAAATTCTCAATTAGCAAATTAAACCAAAAGTCCATTTTGATTCTCTTCATTTTATGGTTTCATACAGAATCAGAGGGTCTTGAAAGGAGATTTCAGTAGGCCAGGTACTAGTTGTGATGTTTAGGAAGGTCAACTATGAAACGTGGTCACTGGCTTTGGGGTCTCACTGGCTTCTCAGGAGGACTGCAGGCACGGCTTTCCACCAGCAGTCGCTCTCTGGAGTGTCCTCTGAGCCAGGCCCTGTGGTAGACACCTGGTGTTGCCCTTTATCCTCAGAGATCCTCTGAGGAAGGTGAACCTTGTTCAGGAGCACACAGCTGCACAGGTGGCACCACAGGACACTTGATGAACTATGGGTTCAGGCACCAATGGCAATCCCAGGGTCCTAGAATCCCCAAGCCGGGCATTAGCCCTTGAGTTTCTGGGAGGAAGAGGGGCATGGGCATCCAGAAGATAGGCAGGGCAACAGGAGGGACTCACATACCTTGACCGACCTGCACAAAGGTATCCAAATACTTAACACCTATGTGCAGAGATGCTGTCGGCACAGACATGCCTTCCTGAAGCAGGGACAGCTCTCCTGTATGTCCAGGCCCCCAGCCTCGGCAAGGACCACCAGGAGCAGGAGTTTGGGTGGGAGAGGCAACACAGGGAGCAGCTCTGGGAGGTGGACCCTAGCAGAGCACCTGCCAGAGAGGAAGGAGAGACCCCCCACCATGTCATTTCTGGGGTTCCTGCCCAAAGCACTAAGGATGTTGCTGGGGGTAGTTCAGAAGGTCTCACAGGTATCCTGGTTCCTACTTGAGTTCTAACTGAGGACAGGTGTCCAGGGCACACACAGTCCCGGACTTGCCTGCCATTTCCTTTCTGCCCAGAGGGCTTTGCTAGCACACACTGACCCACTGTCCGGATCCACTGTGTATCATATCTATAGGGGCTGCCAGGTAACACGCCGAGTGTACATAAAGCCGTGGACACAAGTTCATGTTCCCACAAAAACCTTCTGAAGGTGGGTGTCCAGTGAGAATGAAAGGCTCCTCAGAGCCACACAGCCCAGGACCAGGCCTGTTGAGACTCAGGGCCACCAGGGTTCAGAGCCTCCAGGGCCAAGGTCCCGGAGAGGGATTGGGCTTCTGATTACGGGTCAGGTCTAGGGTGGAGAGGTTGCTCTTGGGCTCAGGGAGGTCCAGGGAGAAAGCCGTGTCCCAAGCAACATTTCTGTGATTCTGCAGGCAGTGGCAGTGCCCTCTTCCAGCCACGTCATCAGGACCAAGTTCTGCCTGCTCGGTTCAGGGATGGCTCTGGTGTGTGGAGGGGCCGCCCTAGGGAGGTGGTATTTCCACTCTGTACCTATGTCTGGCAGAGTGCTGCAGGCCCTGTCTGCTGTCCCAGCTGTCGCCGTGACCTTGGGCTCTGGGATGTTCCGGAAGCTGTTCTTCCTGGTGGCTGGCTCTGACCCTCATTTGACCAGGGGCAATCCTGGGCTCACTACAACCCCTGTCAGAAACTCACCTGCTGTCTTTCTGCACAGATCATCACCTTGCGGGATTACGTCCCCAGGATTCTGGGTCCTGAGGCCTTCAGGCAGTACGTAGGCCCCTATGAAGGCTATGACCCCACCATGAACCCCACTGTGTCCAACATCTTCTCCACGGCTGCCTTTCGCTTCGGCCACGCTGCAGTTCACCCACTGGTGAGGCGACTGGATGCAGGCTTCCAGGAGCAGGCCAGCCTGCCCAGGCTGCCTCTTCGGGATGCCTTCTTCAGCCCCTGGAGGCTCATCCAGGAAGGTGCGTCCTCCTCCTGCCCAGGGACACTGCTCTGCCCCGAGCTGTCAGAGACCACATGGCCCCCGCAGAGCCTTGATCTCCTGGTGGTGTGCAGGAAGAGAAGTTGGTCAGAGCCTTTTCAGAGTGGACTGTTGCTCAAATCCTTTTCTGTCATTTCTAAAGTTCCTGGGCACTTGGCATAAGTTATTCTAGGGCTCTGCACCGTGGCTGCAGACACTGAAGTAGAAACCCCCTTTGCCTCACGGCAGCACCTCTGACTCCCCACTGCTAGGCTTTGCACGGTTCCCTGGTTAAGGTCAGGGTAGTGAGCTCAGGGTGCTGACAGCCAGGTAGCTGAGCAATGAGTCATTTAGAGCGTCAGTTTAATTCCCTGGTTGGGCTTGGGAGGGCTATTTGCAATTTCTCTTCATGTCTTCTCTCTCTTTTCCCTATGTTCTTCTGTCTGTCTGGAAGGTTCTGAACTGTTGATTCTAAACTCACAAGTTGGTGACTCCAAGTGGGTGCTGGGTGGAGTGGTGACTAGGTGACAGTGGCTGGCAGGTGACAGTAGGCTCCTTGTACCCTGTTTAAACAAAATGCTGTTGAGCAGAGCTTGTAGAGTGAGGCCAAGGGTCTCTCCAGCTCACTCCACACAGGCAGAGGCACATCATGAATGCTGCTTAGTGTTTGGGGGGAAGCATGAGACCTCCTGGCCCTTAGCAGACTATCACATGTCACTGGATTCACATGACATGGGGTGGGTGGGACCTCAGAGGCTCTAGTCTGTCTCCACCATCACCTGCTGTGAGGAGACCCCAGGCCTGGGGTGACAGGATGGGGCCCCGAGTACCCTGCAGCTCCTGGGGCCAAGCAATGTCCTCTTCTTACTGTTCCAGACAGCGGAGTCTGGCAAATGCTTCTTTTGGTGGCGAAGCTTCTGCTACGATGAGCAGAAGGAAAAACTTCAGTAGCAAGGGCCCATTGCCAGGGTCCCTTGGGTTCTGAAGGTCCATCCTCGACCCTGGTATGGTCAGTGCCAGGTCTGTAGCTACCCGCCACCAAGGGCCCCACTGACTCTCAGAAGGAGATTCATCAGCTGACACAAACACATTTGTGGCAAAGGTACTTGATGATGGGGAACTCTTCTCCGGGGGGACTTAGTGCAGACTGTCCTTGGCTCTTACACTGCATTCCCAGGTGGCTTGGACCCGATAGTGAGAGGCCTTCTTGCACGACCAGCCAAGCTGCAGGTGCAGGACCAGCTGATGAATGAGGACCTGACTGAAAGGCTCTTTGTGCTGGCGCAGCCGGGCGCCCTGGATCTGGCGTCACTGAACCTGCAGAGGGGCCGTGACCATGGCCTGCCAGGTCTGTTGGTGTCCTCAGACCCCACGCCCATGCCTGCTGTGGGACTGGCCAGATCAGCCAGCTGTCCTGTGAGGGACTGACCTGAAATGAAATCTGCTGCCAGCCCCTAAACCAGGGCTCTTGAGGCTCTGCTCCATGCACCCCAAGAGGCCACTCCAGCCACCTGCAGGAAATGGCCCCAGGTGACCCTGAGCCCCAAGGCAGAGAGCTGAGGGGTTCCTACAATGGCTCAGCAGCCTCATCCTCCATGCATCTGAGTGTGCACTTAGCTGAGTGCCATAATGTGCAAGGCACCAACGTCAGAACAGTCACAGGCCTGGCACCCGCAGAAGGCAGAGGAGCAGGCAAGATAGCATGAGCTGCTGCATGGCCTGGCATGGAGCAGTTCCAAAGCCGATCACTCGGGAGCCAGGGGCTGCAGAAGGCAGAGGCTGAACCAAGATGAATAGGATGGGACCGAAGGCAGGTGCCAGTGGGGGCCTAGTGAGGACCCCGGAAGAGCAGGCAGCAGCCCAGCAAAGCTGGAGCATGCGCCAGAGGGCTCCCAGAGAGGGGGAGAAGCTCAGGGCACTTGATGAGCGCAGAGGGAGTCAGTGGGAAAAGCTGGGCCCGCGCCAGCGCAGGGCCCTGTCTTCCTTGTGGGAAGACTCTCCTGGAGCAAGGGGTAGTGGGGTGGGAGAGGGGTGCTGAGAGGTCTTCAGTGCAAGAGACGACAGGTCAGAGGGAAAGCAGGTAAGCTCACAGTGTGTCCACTTCCCTGTGTGTGCCTGCCAGGCAGGGAGGGAGCCAGGTTCCCTTGTGCTCCTGGGGGCCTTGCGGGCACCAGCCTGGAGAGGAAGGGCCCCTCTCTAGAGAATGGAGCACGCCATGCCCTGCTTCCACGCAGATGCCTGGCTCTTGCCTCCGCTCACCTAGGAGCAGACCCTTCCGGAGTACTGAGCCTGTGCCCAAGCCTATTGAGCTCTAAAGGGTGATGTTTTGGTCTGTTTGCATCTGGGAGTGAGGACAGGGCAGCAAGTGGGGACACTGGTGAATCAGGCCCCTCTTTCTTGTAGGGTACAACAGATGGAGAGAGTTCTGTGGCTTGCCTCAGCTAGAGACCGCAGCCGACCTGAGCAGGGCCATTGCCAACAGGAGCGTGGTCCGCAAGCTAATGGACTTGTACAAGCATCCAGACAACATCGACGTCTGGCTGGGTGGCTTAGTGGAGGACTTCTTGCCCAGGGCCCGAACGGGTCCCCTTTTTGCTTGCATCATTGGGAGGCAGATGAAGGCGCTGAGAGATGGGGACAGGTAGGTGCGTGTGGCAAGCCTCTGTCCCGTAGCTGCTGCTCCACATGGCGCTGCTGGTCCTGCCATCCGGGGGGTTGAGCCCAGGGCCTCAGGGGGACTAGACAAGCTCGCTGCCACTGAGCCACACCCCAGTCCTCTGCATACTGGCCTTGGGTGAAGCGGCCAGGTCTGGCTCAAATACTGGCTCCACTCCCAGTACTCAGTGACCCCGGGCAGGCCATCTGTCAATCACAGTTTCCTCCACTGTACAATGAAGAACGGAGGATGAGGCATGAGGATCTCCTTAGCACTTAAAATGTGAATCCTGCAGGCTGATCTCCCGCATTTCTAATCTCACAAACAGCAGCAGGGAATGAAAATCAAAGTCTTTCATGACAACCTGAAACTGCTCCACCTTTGGGAATTCTCTGAAATAGCTGCGAAGCTGCAGAGGTGGGACTGACGGGGTGCCAAGGCCCAGGCCAGACCTAGAGCCCAGGAGCAGGCTGCAGCTGCATGGACAGGCCACCCACCTTTCCACCTCGGGTTCCACCCTGCAGCCCAACCGAGCTGCACTCACAGCCCAGCCCAGCCCAGCCCATGCTGTGCCCTCCTCTGTGCAGCCTAGAGCTCTGAACCTTGCACAACTGGAGTCCGTCCGAGAGGCCAGCTGTTTCCACACCTCACTCAGCTGCAGACACAGCACTGATGCCCACATGGCTTAGAACACCTGTGTTGTTGGGAATGACACAGAAAAGAGCAATGATATATATGGTGACCCTCTCACCTGCAGTTCTCTCTCTCTCTCCCTAAATCAAATTGTTTCCAAGCATATTTAAGTTCTTTTTAGAGAGGAATCAGCCACACACTTAGGATCCAGTCCTTCTTTCCAATACAAATTTTGCCATTAATTTTTGAGATGCAGCATTTCAAATATCTGGGCAGAAGTAACTAGGAGAATATTCTCCCTGAAATGTGTATCTTTCACATTCATGGGGTTTGGGGTACCCTAGGTCCTGAGAGCCCCTGACTTGGTAGTGGCCCGTGTGCTCAGCTGGGTGCTACAGGACCTCAGGTCCAGAGCCAGCCGCAGAAGCTCCTGCAGGTCTGCGGTCTGAATGATTCTGGTCCTGAGCATTCATGACTGAACGTCTCACAGTCCAGACTCTGCTCAAGCGTAGATTGAGGCCCTTCTCCCATTCGGAGGGAATGTCCCATGTGGGGCACTCAGGCCAGATGCTCTTGGGCTTTGTCCATGGTGTGACTGTCTTCTAGGAAAGTGAGGCTATCTCTAACAGGCCGACTTCCCTGACCACCCTCGCCTAGAGGAGGAGGTGTGAGCCTGGCTGCAGTCTGGACAGCAGTGGGTGCTGATGGCCGTCTGCCTGGCCACGCTTGCATCTGCACCCTGGGCTGACTGCAGCAAGCCAGATTGGCGGGGAGAACCATTCCGTGCTGCCCCACAGACGGGCCCACGTCAGGGCGAGGCCTGGCCTTCCTGCTTGGTCCTGCCTTACCGCGGAGCTGTTTAGCCAAGGAGACAGAAGCGGGCCAGAGCGTCCACTGGTCAGCTCATGCTCCCCACCCCATGCAGGTTCTGGTGGGAGAACAGTGCGGTCTTCACCGAGGCTCAGAGGCGGGAGCTGGGCAAGCACTCACTGCCCCGGGTGCTCTGTGACAACACTGGCCTCACCAGCGTGCCCGTGGACGCCTTCCGCACCGGGACATTCCCTCAGGACTTTGTCCCCTGCTCGAGCATCCCCCGCCTGGACCTGGAGGCGTGGAAGGAGACCCTTCCCCAAGGTGACGCCAGCCCCTTGTGGCCCGTGGGTCCAGCAGCACCCATGAGCTGGGACCCCTCTGTGAGAACACAGCTGCCCAGGTGCCCTGGCCTGAAAAGTGGCCATTGAGAGGACCCTTTAGGGTGTGGTGTTGACATATGGCTGCACAGAGAGCACAACACCAGCAAAACCCGAGGGCCACCTGGACGGGTCCACAGAGCAGCTGTGCTGACCTTGGCCTCACCTTGTCGGCACCTAGTCACTTCACAGTGTCCATTGCAGAATAGGTCTCACCACACACACCACACACCACACAACACACCACACAACACACCACACAACATACCACACACACCACACAACACACACCACACACA